TATATATGCATATATGAAGATGTATACACAGCCACTCGAAAAAGCACCTAAAGGAAACATGGTGAGGCTTGGTTAGCTTAATAAACAGGTGGTCAATCAATGACGCGTCCAGGGAAAGCTATTCGTTATTATTTATTAAATAGATACAGACTATCGTATAATTAATGTAATAGTATGCATGGTAGATGCATATATAGCTGGCATGTATGCTAGGATCATGATACAAAAATGGGCAAACGCTCGAAGATCATGCAGTGAATGTATTTCATCGATATTTAGAAAATAGTAACAAGACGCACACGAGTTTGGCGCACACGAAAAGTTGCCATGAATTTGGAAATGTGTGCAAAATCCCATAGGGCAAACGACTGATTGTGTTACCTTCCTGATAGTTCAGGTTACTTATAGCTATATAGCCCGGACACCATCAGTTTGTCTACTGCTGTTTTAAATGAAATTTTTCCATTTCATTAGGTTATACTATAGACGAGAACCATTTCCGAGCATCGAACGACTACATTTAACGGCTTTAATTACTTGAGTACGAGAAGGCCTAGCTTGAAGATTTTAGGAAGGCGCAAAAAATAGCTCGGTGCGCTGAAGTTACAGATGTGCTGACACTGACAATGTGATTGAGGACATTATTCCTGCATAAAATGCGCAAAATCATGACTGACTTTTCTGAACTGTACGTTAGTCTTAAGGGGATGCATCTGGGGCTTTTTTTGCAACGAAACTTCTGAATAATTCTGAAATATGTAGAAAGTTCTACTTTGTGTTTTAGTATGGCCACCTATTTAAAGGCAACAGCTAAAAGGCGATCATTCGTCCTGACTAAATAGGTGCTAGAATAAAGTATTAGGACCGAGAAGATATCTCGAGCATATTTTGTACGGTAGTTTTCCTACATCAGTCTATTAGATAGATATGCCAAAACGATGATCTGACGACACTCGGCATTATAGTATTGAAATTGATATTGATAATAAGAGGCATAATTTTGCCACAGCCTCCCGAGCTACACCCAAAAGTTGCATTGTGAAGCGGTGGATAATTTGTTACAGCTTAATTTTGACGGGCCATTACATTTTATCTTATAAAATACCATGGTGCCGTCAGAGACTTAGATGAGTCTCCTCGTTGTTACGTTTCATATTCCTGAAACGAGTAGAATAGACTTTTACAACGACGTCAGAGACGCAATTTTCAAGACCGTAATCGGCTGAGTCACTACCGATGCACAGTAGCAAGATGTAAACTGTGTAGCATCAATGTTAGATACGAGCTACTAAATAGGGGGTCGCTTTATTGTTGTCCAACCCGTTGTAGACAATGGGCTTCAAATACAATAGGGTCATATTCCTATAGAATTTCTACCAGAAAAGCGTGCGACTATTTGAGAAAATGAAGCAATTTTAATGAGAAGAATCTCTGCATATCAAATCTTGTCCAAATTCGCAGCACATAGCGTCATACGAAAAATCAGTTGGGGTACAATTTCGGCCATTTAGTAAGTTAGTTGTCTTCCTACCGATGCCCAAAGAGTCAAATTAAATACTTCTGCTTGCGGCAAAAAAAACCCGAAACCACTTTACCTATAGACACTGTGCATCTGACGTTTTACGTATATAGTTCAACGTTAGTGTTGGTAAGTCCAATGGCAAAACAATTCCATATCGGCCGACCTTTGCTGCGTCATTCTGGCCGAAATCATATAATCATACACCAGCCATTGTGTGTATAGATATCTATCTATTGACCTCTTCAAATTTAGCTCGCGTAAAAGATTGCGCCACGTCGTGGAGGATCAGCCAATATTAAAGACAAAACTGGGTAATCCTACCCGCATGCATCAGTGTCTATTGAACTCTTACTGAAGAATCAATTGACAGCAGCAAACACTAAGTCATGCCACGTCTGTCTGTAGTCGTCCGTAGATGTTGTGCGCGCACCGCTAAACAGCGTAGACAGTCGTTCGTCGAAAAGGAATATGCTAATATGTATTGATTAAAAACGCATCGGTCAGTCAAGCAAACAACATGCCGCCTGTAACCCATCAAGTAAATGTACAAGCAAAAGCAAATGCCGTATACAGATGTACACAATGTACACAAGAGCTATGCGAAATGCACAGTGAACCGCTGCGACTATATGAAGTTCAGAATCATGTACGAAAAAATGTCAGAGTAAGAGGCCTCAACGGTGTAGGTTATGTCATTGCTAATTCCAGCCAGTGCGGTGGAAACCAAAATAAAGTCCACATATCTGCAGCGTAAGGGATACCAAAAGTGAGATCATATAGATATCCACGGCCGTTTACCCGTTTGTGCCTCGTCTTCCTTAAAACCTAGCGATTACCCGAACGACATGATCTTCCCTTTCGTATTCTCTTCGTTTTCCATACAATGTATCAAGTCGGAAACGGAAGACAATGTGACACATATTTAACCATCCCTTTACGGTGATTGGCTAACCACTTATAAGTCACCAGGAATGTAACGTAAGAACACGTTCTCGCTCATAGAAACGTATCATGTTGTAAACTGGCAGCTAGGTAAGTGAAAACATCATGAAACACGCAGGAGTCGTTCAGGGTAAGCAGCGCTGTATATGAAAAGAATGAGCTTGCTATGGCAGACAGGCACTAACGATAAGTATGATTCGTCCTTCAGGACAGCTTGTAACCAAGACGGCCTTCCCCAGCACAGGTGACGATGATGCTGGCGTCGCTCTTTGTAAGAGGAACAGCTGAAATCGGCGTCTGAGAAGCTTTTATCAAATGAGTGATTCTAGAAAACTTCTAACTTTATTTGCTTTGTTACGACAAGATTCATTTAAAATCGAAAACGCCACATATGGCTTAGATCTCGCTGTGGCGAACAGTGGCATTTCTATTGTGCTTTGTAGCTCTACTCTGAAAAGAAAAGGGAAAACAATAGAAAACAGGTTTCATCATTGAGGGGTAAACTAAGTATAATATACCTAGAACATTATAACTACATGCAACAGTTGGCTGAAATTTCTAGTCCCAACTTCGATTTCCTAATAACGTCTATGAAAAGCATAGAAGCATTTTTAGCACATATCGTTGTAGCAAACGGCCAGGAGTGTAGAGAGAAGTTGATTTTATGCGAGAGAAAGTCCTCTTTTGCTAGACGATTATATTGTTGTTCAAGCCGGCCCAATAATTGTTGTTAGCTCGAAAGCATACCTACGCGCTAAATAAAAAAAAAAAAAATAACACAGTAAACGATACGAAATCGAGCGTTTTCGTTACGCTTCCGCACGGCTATCCTACTCAATATTCGCTTAAATCTGTGTTGATTTTCTTCTCCTCTGCTATCCGCAATGAAACCTCACTGCGTTACGATACCCGGCAACGATTACATGAATCGAAGCCTTACCACAGGCCTTGTAAATGATTTTTTACGCTTACATCATCTTGAAGCAGGCGAATAGAAGCCGAACGGTCTGCGAGCCAAGTATTATTAGGAATAACCATATATGATCGTACCGAAGATAAAAACCGATATCTTCCTTTGTTGGCTCTTTTTTTTGCTAATCGTGTTACACTAACTGAAATATTCGCTGCTTCCGCTACTATTGCTGGTCATTATTCGACAGTTAAATCTTCTTTATAGAAGATACCATTGCATTTATACTATGCATTGTAGCTATCGTTATACGCTGGGGTGCATCAAAATAGTAGAAATCTGGTTACAAGCGAACATTAGCGCCAGTTGTATGTAGGTGGAATAACCCCACAAGTACCGTATTGTCTATACAAATGGTTATTATGTGTTAATTTGAAGGCGTAAACTATTGTGACGTGTTCAATTTGCCAGAGTTGTTTCTGTGACTAATCTGTCACCGCTAAGCGAACTTGGTGGGGTTTAAGTTCCAGTTCCATAGTAACTTTCGTTTGCATTTGGCATTCGTTACGAAATAAGTACAATTTCGCAGAGGATAATCTATTCGGTTTAAGCGAAGACGCTATTCAATCTACGATATAACGTTGGTAAGCCTAAATTGAAGTTCTACTATCATTTGACTGGTAGTAAATAAACGTCAAGGACCTTATTTAGTTATTAAATGACCCTTCGTTAGAGCGTTGCGGCGAGTCACTGTAACCTCTACCTAATTAAAAGGTATCATTCTCTCCGAGCAGTTTTTAATTTTCGTAGACACTAAGTCAGTTTGTACAGCTGCGTCCACTTGAAACGTTGTTATCATGCAATTATGCTGTGTTCCTTCTCAAGCCTTTACGTGAAGAAGGTGCTTCGTTTGTCTGGCATCAGGCCGATTCTGACCCTAGTTGTATCATGTTAGGGGCAAAACTGAACAGAGAGTACGCTGAAACGATATATTTGCCATCCAGCAGTATCTGCATGATAAACGCATTGCCGATGTACTAAACATTTAAAAAAAAAGAAGAGATAAAGGCTAATTATATGCGGTCAGCAACAGCGGCAATGCCGTGTAACCATCGACCGGGAACCCTCCATCTAGGCCAAGCGCCAGATATAGGCGAAAGGTGATCTTGTCCATCAAGTTAACTAAACGTGCACCATCAGAACATCATCCAGAAGATGGTAGAAAAGAATAACCAATATGCCACTATAGTCAGATTCTCAAGGTTTTGGCAGCGATTTAGCGGTGATTTTTATTGTTATTAGCAAATGCCTGTACTGTTATTTTTTTGCCGATAAAGATATTCGCGGGAGACGTGTATCAACCCGTCAGCGTATTACTAAACTGCGAAATCAATGATACGTGCTGGATTGTTGCTGGCAGCTCGAATTATCCAACATTACTATATATTGTTTATATTATTAGTAAAAACGATTACTATACCATAACTGACCTTCAAAGTGGTAGGTCGTGCAGGTATGCA